ACTGCCCTAACAAGGCTGAAAACGTGCTCTTTAAGAGAAAAATAAAAAAAAGCTTGTGTGTAACCAGAATGTATAGAACATAAAATGACGGGATATAATCAGTACAAAAATCTGTATCCAAGTTCCAGGAGCTCAACAGATAACCCAATCGCCACCACACTCCAACTGGCCATGAGCAAGAAGGACTTGTGTGTTCAAATGATCTTCAGTGAAAAGTTCACCACAGCATTCAACACAATCATTCCTCAGCACCTGATTGAAAAGGCGAACCAGTCAGAGCCTGTAGACATCCCTCTGAAACTGGACGCTAGACTTCGTGACTAGGAGACCTCACTCAGTCTGGATCAGAGCAGCACCTCCAATTCTAGAAAATTTATATCTGCCTGTTAGTTAATACACCTTCAGATTATGAGACTGACACGCTACCTACCCGCTAACAAGGCTGAAAACATTATCTCTAAGAGAAATAAAAAAAAGCTTGTGTTTAACCAGAATGTATAGAACATATAATGATGGCATATAATCAGAAAAAAAAAATCTGTATCCAATTTCCACGAGCTCAACAGATAACCCAATCGCCACCACCCTCCATCTGGCCAAGGACAAAATGGACACGTGCGTTCAAATGGTCTTCAGTGAAACGTTCACCACAGCATTCAACACAATCATTCCTTAGCACCTGATTGAAAAGGTGACCCAGTCAGAGCCTGTAGACATCCCTCTGAAACTGGACGCTAGACTTCCTGACTAGGAGACCTCATTCAGTCTGGATCGGGATCAGCAGCTCCAGCCAGAGCAAATTCAACGTAATCTGAAAACAAAACCAATGCCCTGTGTGAGGATTGAACTCACGACCTTCAGATAATGAGACTGACGCGCTACCTACTGCGCTAACAAGGCTGAAAACACCACCTCCAAAAATTTGTATCCAAGTTCCACGAGGTCAACAGATAACCCAATCGCCACCACACTCCAACTGGCCATGAGCAAGAAGGACTTGTGTGTTCAAATGATCTTCAGTGAAAAGTTCACCACAGCATTCAACACAATCATTCCTCAGCACCTGATTGAAAAGGCGAACCAGTCAGAGCCTGTAGACATCCCTCTGAAACTGGAAGCTAGACTTCCTGACTAGGAGACCTCACTCAGTCTGGTCAGGAGCAGCACCTCCAGCAGCTCCAGCCAGACATATCTACTTAATTGAAAACAAAACCCATGCCCTGTTGTGGATTGAACTCACAACCTTCAGATTATGAGACTGACACGCTACCTACTGCGCTAACGAGGCTGAAAACATGACCTCTAAGAGAAATAAAAAAAAGCATGTGTGTAACCAGAATGTATAAAAGATATAATGACGGGATATGATCAGTACAAAAATCTGTATCCAAGTTCCACGAGCTCAACAGATAACCCAAACGCTACCACCCTCCATCTGGCCAAGGACAAAATGACACGCGTGTGTTCAAATGGTCTTCAGTGAAAAGTTCACCACAGCATTCAACACAATCATTCCTTAGCACCTGATTGAAAAGGCGAACCAGTCAGAGCCTGTAGACATCCCTCTGAAACTGGACGCTAGACTTCCTGACTAGGAGCATTCACAGCATTCAACACAATCATTCCTTAGCACCTGATTGAAAAGCCCATGCCCTGGGTTTTGTTTTAAAAAAAAAAAAGCATGTGTGTAACCAGAATGTATAAAACATATAATGACGGGATATAATCAGTACAAAAATCTGTATCCAAGTTCCAGGAGCTCAACAGATAACCCAATCGCCACCACACTCCAACTGGCCATGAGCAAGAAGGACTTGTGTGTTCAAATGATCTTCAGTGAAAAGTTCACCACAGCATTCAACACAATCATTCCTCAGCACCTGATTGAAAAGGCGAACCAGTCAGAGCTTGTAGACATCCCTCTGAAACTGGACGCTAGACTTCCTGACTAGGAGCATTCACAGCATTCAACACAATCATTCCTTAGCACCTGATTGAAAAGGTGACCCAGTGTCAGCCTGTAGACATCCCTCTGAAACTGGACGCTAGACTTCCTGACTAGGAGACCTCACTCAGTCTGGATCAGGAGCAGCACCTCCAGCACCTCCAGCCAGAGCAAATTCTACATAATCTGAAAACAAAACCCATGCCCTGTGTAAGGATTGAACTCATGACCTTCAGATTATGAGACTGACACGCTACCTACTGCGCTAACAAGGCTGAACACATGATCTCTAAGAGAAATTTAAAAAAAGCTTGTGTTTAACCAGAATGTATACAAAATATAATGACGGGATATAATCAGTACAAAAATCTGTATCCAAGTTCCACGAGCTCAAAAGATAACCCAATCGCCACCACCCTCCATCTGGCCATGAGCAAGAAGGACATGTGCGTTCAAATGGTTTTCAGTGAAAAGTTCACCACAGAATACAACACAATCATTCCTTAGCACCTGATTGAAAAGGTGACCCAGTCAGAGCCTGTAGACATCCCTCTGAAACTGGACGCTAGACTTCCTGACTAGGAGACCTCATTCAGTCTGGATCGGGATCAGCAGCTCCAGCCAGAGCAAATTCAACGTAATCTGAAAACAAAACCCATGCCCTGTGTGAGGATTGAACTCACGACCTTCAGATTATGAGACTGACGCGCTACCTACTGCGCTAACAAGGCTGAAAACACCACCTCCAAGAGAAACAAAAAAAAGCATGTGTGTAACCAGAACGTATAAAACATATAATGATGGGATATAATCAGTATAAAAATCTGTATCCAAGTTCCACGAGCTCAACAGATAACCCAATCTGGCCAAGGACAAAATGGACACGTGCGTTCAAATGGTCTTCAGTGAAAAGTTCACCACAGCATTCAACACAATCATTCCTTAGCACCTGATTGAAAAGGCGAACCAGTCAGAGCCTGTAGACATCCCTTGAACTCACGACCTTCAGATTATGAGACTGACACGCTACCTACTGCTCTAACAAGGCTGAAAACATGACCTTTAAGAGAAATAAAAAAAAAGCTTGTGTGTAACCAGAATGTATAGAACATATAATGACGGGATATAATCAGTACAAAAATCTGTATCCAAGTTCCACAAGCTCAACAGATAACCCAATCGCCACCACCCTCCATCTGGCCAAGGACAAAATGGACTTGTGTGTTCAAATGGTCTTCAGTGAAAAGTTCACCACAGCATTCAACACAATCATTCCTCAGCACCTGATTGAAAAGGCGAACCAGTCAGAGCCTGTAGACATCCCTCTGAAACTGGAAGCTAGACTTCCTGACTAGGAGCATTCACAGCATTCAACACAATCATTCCTTAGCACCTGATTGAAAAGGTGACCGAGTCAGAGCCTGTAGACATCCCTCTGAAACTGGACGCTAGACTTCCTGACTAGGAAGACCTCACTCAGTCTGGGTCAGGAGCAGCACCTCCAGCAGCTCCAGCCAGAGCATATCCTACTTAATCTGAAAACAAAACCCAGGCCCTGTGTGAGGATTGAACTCACAACCTTCAGATTAGGAGACGACACGCTACCTACTGCGCTAACAAGGCTGAAAAAACCAGCTCCAAGAGAAACCAAAAAGCATGTGTGTAACCAGAATGTATAAAACATATAATGACGGGATATAATCAGTACAAAAATCTGTATCCAAGTTCCACGAGCTCAACAGATAACCCAATCTGGCCAAGGACAAAATGGACACGTCGTTCAAATGGTCTTCAGTGAAAAGTTCACCACAGCATTCAACACAATCATTCCTTAGCACCTGATTGAAAAGGCGAACCAGTCAGAGCCTGTAGACATCCCTTGAACTCACGACCTTCAGTTTAAGAGACTGACATACTACCTACTGCTCTAACAAGGCAAAAATGGACTTGTGTGTTCAAATGGTCTTCAGTGAAAAGTTCACCACAGCATTCAACACAATCATTCCTCAGCACCTGATTGAAAAGGCGAACCAGTCAGAGCCTGTAGACATCCCTCTGAAACTGGAAGCTAGACTTCCTGACTAGGAGCATTCACAGCATTCAACACAATCATTCCTTAGCACCTGATTGAAAAGGTGACCCAGTCAGAGCCTGTAGACATCCCTCTGAAACTGGACGCTAGACTTCCTGACTAGGAGACCTCACTCAGTCTGGGTCAGGAGCAGCACCTCCAGCATCTCCAGCCAGAGCATATCCTACTTAATCTGAAAACAAAACCCAGGCCCTGTGTGAGGATTGAACTCACAACCTTCAGATTATGAGACGGACGCGCTACCTACTACGCAAACAAGGCTGAAAACACCAGCTCAAAGAAACAAAAAAAAGCATGTGTGTAACCAGACGTTATAAAACATATAATGACGGGATATAATCAGTATAAAAATCTGTATCCAAGTTCCACGAGCTCAACAGATAACCCAATCTGGCCAAGGACAAAATGGACACGCGCGAGGTTCAAATGGTCTTCAGTGAAAAGTTCACCACAGCATTCAACACAATCATTCCTTAGCACCTGATTGAAAAGGCGAACCAGTCAGAGCCTGTAGACATCCCTTGAACTCACGACCTTCAGATTATGAGACTGACACGCTACCTACTGCTCTAACAAGGCTGAAAACATGAACTTTAAGAGAAATAAAAAAAAAAGCTTGTGTGTAACCAGAATGTATAGAACATATAATGACGGGATATAATCAGTACAAAAATTTGTATCCAAGTTCCACAAGCTCAACAGATAACCCAATCGCCACCACCCTCCATCTGGCCTAGGACAAAATGGACTTGTGTGTTCAAATGGTCTTCAGTGAAACGTTCACCACAGCATTCAACACAATCATTCCTTAGCACCTGATTGAAAAGGTGACCCAGTCAGAGCCTGTAGACATCCCTCTGAAACTGGACGCTAGACTTCCTGACTAGGAGACCTCATTCAGTCTGGATCGGGATCAGCAGCTCCAGCCAGAGCAAATTCAACGTAATCTGAAAACAAAACCAATGCCCTGTGTGAGAATTGAACTCACGACCTTCAGATAATGAGACGACGCGCGCGCTACCTACTGCGCTAACAAGGCTGAAAACACCACCTCCAAAAATTTGTATCCAAGTTCCACGAGGTCAACAGATAACCCAATCGCCACCACACTCCAACTGGCCATGAGCAAGAAGGACTTGTGTGTTCAAATGATCTTCAGTGAAAAGTTCACCACAGCATTCACCACAATCATTCCTCAGCACCTGATTGAAAAGGCGAACCAGTCAGAGACTGTAGACATCCCTCTGAAACTGGAAGCTAGACTTCCTGACTAGGAGACCTCACTCAGTCTGGGTCAGGAGCAGCACCTCCAGCAGCTCCAGCCAGAGCATATCCTACTTAATCTGAAAAAAAACCCATGCCCTGTGTGAGGATTGAACTCACAACCTTCAGATTAGGAGACTGACACGCTACCTACTGCGCTAACGAGGCTGAAAACATGACCTCTAAGAGAAATAAAAAAAAAAGCATGTGTGTAACCAGAATGTATAAAAGATATAATGACGGGATATGATCAGTACAAAAATCTGTATCCAAGTTCCACGAGCTCAACAGATAACCCAATCGCCACCACCCTCCATCTGGCCAAGGACAAAATGGACACGTGCGTTCAAATGGTCTTCAGTGAAAAGTTCACCACAGCATTCAACACAATCATTCCTTAGCACCTGATTGAAAAAGGCGAACCAGTCAGAGCTTGTAGACATCCCTCTGAAACTGGACGCTAGACTTCCTGACTAGAAGCATTCACAGCATTCAACACAATCATTCCTTAGCACCTGATTGAAAAGCCCATGCCCTGGGTTTTGTTTTAAAACATGTGTTAACCATGTATAGAATAATGAGGATATTAGTACAAAAATATAGAAACCAGACTGCCCCCCAAAAAATGGACACGTGCGTTAAATGTTAGTGAAGTTCACCACAGCATTCAACACAATCATTCCTAGCCCTATTAAAAGGCGAACCAGTCAGAGCCTGTAGACATCCTTCTGAAACTGGACGCTAGACTTCCTGACTAGGAGCATTCACAGCATTCAACACAATCATTCCTTAGCACCTGATTGAAAAGCCCATGCCCTGGGTTTTGTTTTAAAAAAAAAAAAAGTATGTAACCAGAATGTATAAAACATATAATGACGGGGATATAATCAGTACAAAAATCTGTATCCAAGTTCCAGGAGCTCAACAGATAACCCAATCGCCACCACACTCCAACTGGCCATGAGCAAGAAGGACTTGTGTGTTCAAATGATCTTCAGTGAAAAGTTCACCACAGCATTCACCACAATCATTCCTCAGCACCTGATTGAAAAGGCGAACCAGTCAGAGCTTGTAGACATCCCTCTGAAACTGGACGCTAGACTTCCTGACTAGGAGCATTCACAGCATTCAACACAATCATTCCTTAGCACCTGATTGAAAAGGTGACCCAGTCAGAGCCTGTAGACATCCCTCTGAAGCTGGACGCTAGACTTCCTGACTAGGAGACCTCACTCAGTCTGGATCAGGAGCAGCACCTCCAGCACCTCCAGCCAGAGCAAATTCTACATAATCTGAAAACAAAACCCATGCCCTGTGTAAGGATTGAACTCATGACCTTCAGATTATGAGACTGACACGCTACCTACTGCGCTAACAAGGCTGAACACATGATCTCTAAGAGAAATTTAAAAAAAGCTTGTGTTTAACCAGAATGTATACAAAATATAATGACGGGATATAATCAGTACAAAAATCTGTATCCAAGTTCCACGAGCTCAAAAGATAACCCAATCGCCACCACCCTCCATCTGGCCATGAGCAAGAAAGGACAAGATGTGTGTTCAAATGGTTTTCAGTGAAAAGTTCACCACAGAATACAACACAATCATTCCTTAGCACCTGATTGAAAAGGTGACCCAGTCAGAGCCTGTAGACATCCCTCTGAAACTGGACGCTAGACTTCCTGACTAGGAGACCTCATTCAGTCTGGATCGGGATCAGCAGCTCCAGCCAGAGCAAATTCAACGTAATCTGAAAACAAAACCCATGCCCTGTGTGAGGATTGAACTCACGACCTTCAGATTATGAGACTGACGCGCTACCTACTGCGCTAACAAGGCTGAAAACACCACCTCCAAGAGAAACAAAAAAAAGCATGTGTGTAACCAGAACGTATAAAACATATAATGACGGGATATAATCAGTATAAAAATCTGTATCCAAGTTCCACGAGCTCAACAGATAACCCAATCTGGCCAAGGACAAAATGGACACGTGCGTTCAAATGGTCTTCAGTGAAAAGTTCACCACAGCATTCAACACAATCATTCCTTAGCACCTGATTGAAAAGGCGAACCAGTCAGAGCCTGTAGACATCCCTTGAACTCACGACCTTCAGATTATGAGACTGACACGCTACCTACTGCTCTAACAAGGCTGAAAACATGAACTTTAAGAGAAATAAAAAAAAAAGCTTGTGTGTAACCAGAATGTATAGAACATATAATGACGGGATATAATCAGTACAAAAATTTGTATCCAAGTTCCACAAGCTCAACAGATAACCCAATCGCCACCACCCTCCATCTGGCCAAGGACAAAATGGACTTGTGTGTTCAAATGGTCTTCAGTGAAAAGTTCACCACAGCATTCAACACAATCATTCCTCAGCACCTGATTGAAAAGGCGAACCAGTCAGAGCCTGTAGACATCCCTCTGAAACTGGAAGCTAGACTTCCTGACTAGGAGCATTCACAGCATTCAACACAATCATTCCTTAGCACCTGATTGAAAAGGTGACCCAGTCAGAGCCTGTAGACATCCCTCTGAAACTGGACGCTAGACTTCCTGACTAGGAGACCTCACTCAGTCTGGGTCAGGAGCAGCACCTCCAGCAGCTCCAGCCAGAGCATATCCTACTTAATCTGAAAACAAAACCCAGGCCCTGTGTGAGGATTGAACTCACAACCTTCAGATTATGAGACTGACACGCTACCTACTGCGCTAACAAGGCTGAAAACACCAGCTCCAAGAGAAACAAAAAAAGCATGTGTGTAACCAGAACGTATAAAACATATAATGACGGGATATAATCAGTACAAAAATCTGTATCCAAGTTCCACGAGCTCAACAGATAACCCAATCTGGCCAAGGACAAAATGGACACGTGCGTTCAAATGGTCTTCAGTGAAAAGTTCACCACAGCATTCAACACAATCATTCCTTAGCACCTGATTGAAAAGGCGAACCAGTCAGAGCCTGTAGACATCCCTTGAACTCACGACCTTCAGATTATGAGACTGACATGCTACCTACTGCTCTAACAAGGCAAAATGGACTTGTGTGTTCAAATGGTCTTCAGTGAAAAGTTCACCACAGCATTCAACACAATCATTCCTCAGCACCTGATTGAAAAGGCGAACCAGTCAGAGCCTGTAGACATCCCTCTGAAACTGGAAGCTAGACTTCCTGACTAGGAGCATTCACAGCATTCAACACAATCATTCCTTAGCACCTGATTGAAAAGGTGACCCAGTCAGAGCCTGTAGACATCCCTCTGAAACTGGACGCTAGACTTCCTGACTAGGAGACCTCACTCAGTCTGGGTCAGGAGCAGCACCTCCAGCATCTCCAGCCGCACCATATCCTACTTAATCTGAAAACAAAACCCAGGCCCTGTGTGAGGATTGAACTCACAACCTTCAGATTATGAGACTGACGCGACACCACTGCGCTAACAAGGCTGAAAACACCAGCTCCAAGAGAAACAAAATGTAGCATGTGTGTAACCAGAACGTATAAAACATATAATGACGGGATATATAATCGTATAAAAAAAATCTGTATCCAAGTTCCACGAGCTCAACAGATAACCCAATCTGGCCAAGGACAAAATGGACACGTACGTTCAAATGGTCTTCAGTGAAAAGTTCACCACAGCATTCAACACAATCATTCCTTAGCACCTGATTGAAAAAGGCAAACCAGTCAGAGCCTGTAGACATCCCTTGAACTCACGACCTTCAGATTATGAGACTGACACGCTACCTACTGCTCTAACAAGGCTGAAAACATGACCTTTAAGAGAAATAAAAAAAAGCTGTGTGTAACCAGAATGTATAGAACATATAATGACGGGATATAATCAGTACAAAAATTTGTATCCAAGTTCCACAAGCTCAACAGATAACCCAATCGCCACCACCCTCCATCTGGCCTAGGACAAAATGGACTTGTGTGTTCAAATGGTCTTCAGTGAAACGTTCACCACAGCATTCAACACAATCATTCCTTAGCACCTGATTGAAAAGGTGACCCAGTCAGAGCCTGTAGACATCCCTCTGAAACTGGACGCTAGACTTCCTGACTAGGAGACCTCATTCAGTCTGGATCGGGATCAGCAGCTCCAGCCAGAGCAAATTCAACGTAATCTGAAAACAAAACCAATGCCCTGTGTGAGGATTGAACTCACGACCTTCAGATAATGAGACTGACGCGCTACCTACTGCGCTAACAAGGCTGAAAACACCACCTCCAAAAATTTGTATCCAAGTTCCACGAGGTCAACAGATAACCCAATCGCCACCACACTCCAACTGGCCATGAGCAAGAAGGACTTGTGTGTTCAAATGATCTTCAGTGAAAAGTTCACCACAGCATTCACCACAATCATTCCTCAGCACCTGATTGAAAAGGCGAACCAGTCAGAGACTGTAGACATCCCTCTGAAACTGGAAGCTAGACTTCCTGACTAGGAGACCTCACTCAGTCTGGGTCAGGAGCAGCACCTCCAGCAGCTCCAGCCAGAGCATATCCTACTTAATCTGAAAACAAAACCCATGCCCTGTGTGAGGATTGAACTCACAACCTTCAGATTAGGAGACTGACACGCTACCTACTGCGCTAACGAGGCTGAAAACATGACCTCTAAGAGAAATAAAAAAAAAAGCATGTGTGTAACCAGAATGTATAAAAGATATAATGACGGGATATGATCAGTACAAAAATCTGTATCCAAGTTCCACGAGCTCAACAGATAACCCAATCGCCACCACCCTCCATCTGGCCAAGGACAAAATGGACACGTGCGTTCAAATGGTCTTCAGTGAAAAGTTCACCACAGCATTCAACACAATCATTCCTTAGCACCTGATTGAAAAGGCGAACCAGTCAGAGCCTGTAGACATCCCTCTGAAACTGGACGCTAGACTTCCTGACTAGGAGCATTCACAGCATTCAACACAATCATTCCTTAGCACCTGATTGAAAAGCCCATGCCCTGGGTTTTGTTTTAAAAAAAAAAAAGCATGTGTGTAACCAGAACGTATAAAACATATAATGACGGGATATAATCAGTACAAAAATCTGTATCCAAGTTCCAGGAGCTCAACAGATAACCCAATCGCCACCACACTCCAACTGGCCATGAGCAAGAAGGACTTGTGTGTTCAAATGATCTTCAGTGAAAAGTTCACCACAGCATTCAACACAATCATTCCTCAGCACCTGATTGAAAAGGCGAACCAGTCAGAGCTTGTAGACATCCCTCTGAAACTGGACGCTAGACTTCCTGACTAGGAGCATTCACAGCATTCAACACAATCATTCCTTAGCACCTGATTGAAAAGGTGACCCAGTGTCAGCCTGTAGACATCCCTCTGAAACTGGACGCTAGACTTCCTGACTAGGAGACCTCACTCAGTCTGGATCAGGAGCAGCACCTCCAGCACCTCCAGCCAGAGCAAATTCTACATAATCTGAAAACAAAACCCATGCCCTGTGTAAGGATTGAACTCATGACCTTCAGATTATGAGACTGACACGCTACATACTGCGCTAACAAGGCTGAACACATGATCTCTAAGAGAAATTTAAAAAAAGCTTGTGTTTAACCAGAATGTATACAAAATATAATGACGGGATATAATCAGTACAAAAATCTGTATCCAAGTTCCACGAGCTCAAAAGATAACCCAATCGCCACCACCCTCCATCTGGCCATGAGCAAGAAGGACATGTGCGTTCAAATGGTTTTCAGTGAAAAGTTCACCACAGAATACAACACAATCATTCCTTAGCACCTGATTGAAAAGGTGACCCAGTCAGAGCCTGTAGACATCCCTCTGAAACTGGACGCTAGACTTCCTGACTAGGAGACCTCATTCAGTCTGGATCGGGATCAGCAGCTCCAGCCAGAGCAAATTCAACGTAATCTGAAAACAAAACCCATGCCCTGTGTGAGGATTGAACTCACGACCTTCAGATTATGAGACTGACGTGCTACCTACTGCGCTAACAAGGCTGAAAACACCAGCTCCAAGAGAAACAAAAAAAAGCATGTGTGTAACCAGAACGTATAAAACATATAATGACGGGATATAATCAGTATAAAAATCTGCATCCAAGTTCCACGAGCTCAACAGATAACCCAATCTGGCCAAGGACAAAATGGACACGTGCGTTCAAATGGTCTTCAGTGAAAAGTTCACCACAGCATTCAACACAATCATTCCTTAGCACCTGATTGAAAAGGCGAACCAGTCAGAGCCTGTAGACATCCCTTGAACTCACGACCTTCAGATTATGAGACTGACACGCTACCTACTGCTCTAACAAGGCTGAAAACATGAACTTTAAGAGAAATAAAAAAAAAAGCTTGTGTGTAACCAGAATGTATAGAACATATAATGACGGGATATAATCAGTACAAAAATTTGTATCCAAGTTCCACAAGCTCAACAGATAACCCAATCGCCACCACCCTCCATCTGGCCAAGGACAAAATGGACTTGTGTGTTCAAATGGTCTTCAGTGAAAAGTTCACCACAGCATTCAACACAATCATTCCTCAGCACCTGATTGAAAAGGCGAACCAGTCAGAGCCTGTAGACATCCCTCTGAAACTGGAAGCTAGACTTCCTGACTAGGAGACCTCACTCAGTCTGGGTCAGGAGCAGCACCTCCAGCAGCTCCAGCCAGAGCATATCCTACTTAATCTGAAAACAAAACCCATGCCCTGTGTGAGGATTGAACTCACAACCTTCAGATTATGAGACTGACACGCTACCTACTGCACTAACGAGGCTGAAAACATGACCTCTAAGAGAAATAAAAAAAAAGCATGTGTGTAACCAGAATGTATAAAAGATATAATGACGGGATATGATCAGTACAAAAATCTGTATCCAAGTTCCACGAGCTCAACAGATAACCCAATCGCCACCACCCTCCATCTGGCCAAGGACAAAATGGACACGTGCGTTCAAATGGTCTTCAGTGAAAAGTTCACCACAGCATTCAACACAATCATTCCTTAGCACCTGATTGAAAAGGCGAACCAGTCAGAGCCTGTAGACATCCCTCTGAAACTGGACGCTAGACTTCCTGACTAGGAGCATTCACAGCATTCAACACAATCATTCCTTAGCACCTGATTGAAAAGGTGACCCAGTCAGAGCCTGTAGACATCCCTCTGAAACTGGACGCTAGACTTCCTGACTAGGAGACCTCAGTCAGTCTGGATCGGGATCAGCAGCTCCAGCCAGAGCAAATTCTACGTAATCTGAAAACAAAACCCATGCCCTGGGTTTTGTTTTAAAAAAAAAAAAGCATGTGTGTAACCAGAACGTATAAAACATATAATGACGGGATATAATCAGTACAAAAATCTGTATCCAAGTTCCAGAGCTCAACAGATAACCCAATCGCCACCACACTCAACTGGCCATGAGCAAGAAGGACTTGTGTGTTCAAATGATCTTCAGTGAAAAGTTCACCACAGCATTCAACACAATCATTCCTCAGCACCTGATTGAAAGAGGCCAACCAGTCAGAGCCTGTAGACATCCCTTGAACTCACGACCTTCAGATTATGAGACTGAACCGCTACCTACTGCTCTAACAAGGCTGAAAACATGAACTTTAAGAGAAAGAAAAAAAAAAGCTTTTGTGTAACCAGAATGTATAGAATATATAATGACGGGATATAATCAGTACAAAAATTTGTATCCAAGTTCCACAAGCTCAACAGATAACCCAATCGCCACCACCCTCCATCTGGCCAAGGACAAAATGGACTTGTGTGTTCAAATGGTCTTCAGTGAAAAGTTCACCACAGCATTCAACACAATCATTCCTCAGCACCTGATTGAAAAGGCGAACCAGTCAGAGCCTGTAGACATCCCTCTGAAACTGGAAGCTAGACTTCCTGACTAGGAGACCTCACTCAGTCTGGGTCAGGAGCAGCACCTCCAGCAGCTCCAGCCAGAGCATATCCTACTTAATCTGAAAACAAAACCCATGCCCTGTGTGAGGATTGAACTCACAACCTTCAGATTATGAGACTGACACGCTACCTACTGCACTAACGAGGCTGAAAACATGACCTCTAAGAGAAATAAAAAAAAAAGCATGTGTGTAACCAGAATGTATAAAAGATATAATGACGGGATATGATCAGTACAAAAATCTGTATCCAAGTTCCACGAGCTCAACAGATAACCCAATCGCCACCACCCTCCATCTGGCCAAGGACAAAATGGACACGTGCGTTCAAATGGTCTTCAGTGAAAAGTTCACCACAGCATTCAACACAATCATTCCTTAGCACCTGATTGAAAAGGCGAACCAGTCAGAGCCTGTAGACATCCCTCTGAAACTGGACGCTAGACTTCCTGACTAGGAGCATTCACAGCATTCAACACAATCATTCCTTAGCACCTGATTGAAAAGGTGACCCAGTCAG